GTTTAAGCGCGGTGTGATAAAATTAAGCGGGTGCAAAAAAGTCGGCAGCGTTGAGCAACCACTCACCTTTGTTTTAATGGATCCCAGCAATGCAGTGGCGTCTCGGTAGCGGTAGTTGGTCTGTGGTAGCAAAGATGGAATAGGAGCAGCACATTAACATAAACTTTCTTTCAAACGTCAAAAACATAATAATAATGTCCCACTATGTCGACCGAACGACGCAAGCCCCCTCCCTGGCCGCGAGTATCAAGCTCAACGTGTTCACACAACATTCAAACTAAATACTTAATATTCAAACAAATTGAAATAAATTCCCTTGCTGTTTCTAATAATTAAACAAAAATAAATAAAAATATTGTTTGGCATAACAACAAAAATTAAATATATTGGGAAGACCAAACAATGTTGTTGCGGAAAAAGGCAACGTATATTTTGATTTATAGTCAGGGAACATACATTCCTAAAATCCGAAGAGTATTATTATTTTTGTTCATCCATACTGATTTTGAAAGCTAAATATGATATTTTTATTTTTATTTGGGTACGAGTTATAATTATAAGAATAAATTTTAAGTTGAAAATACGTATAAAACTGTGTATAAAATTTCTTTTAATTTTTTTAATATTTTGTCTTCTAATGTTCAATTTATTTACCTGATTAAGATTTATACTTTTGAAAACGAGACTAAATTAAGATTAATTATACTTACATGATTATTGAAGAGTAGTTGCGTTGCTATTTCTCTTTTTTGCTGTCCTAGTTGATGAATCATATTTGATGTCAGATTGTTATTTTCTCCATTAATTTCAAAATTAGCTTCTTCATTTGAATAATCAAAATCTTCATCATTTAAATGTTTGGCGATATTATGAAGCACAACACATGCAATTATCATCGATGGTATTTTGTCTAATTTATTCCTAATTTTATACTGCAGGATGGGAAATCTTGATTTTAACTGTCCAAAGCATCGTTCAATTATTACACGTTCTCTGCAGAAAATATTATTATAATTTTGCTGCTCTTGGGTTGCAGAATTTCTCCAGGGAGTCATCATCCAAGGCGATATAGGGTAGCCATCATCTCCTAATAATACACATTCTTCCGTGCTGTTTCTAAGGATGTTGTATATGTTAGAGTTTTTGAAAATTCTACTATCGTGCACAGAGCCTGGCCATTGGCAGTCTACACTTGTAAATACTTCTTGTGCATTACTAGTTGCCTGCACATTAATGCTGAGGTATCCTTTTCGGTTTATATATTCATCACCGAATTCTTGAAACTTTGGAATCCTGACGTGTGTGCAGTCTATCACACCGATGGCATTTGGAAAGCGATATCTCCCTGACCACAAGCGTTTAGCTTCCACAACAGCTGCAGCACGTCTAGGAAATTTAATAAAAATATTGGCCTTCCCCAAGACTACATTCATTACAACAGTGGATGTCTTACAGATAGTAGTTTGGTGGCTCGGATCCGACAATTGCCGCAGAAAGATTTTCATCTTATTTATAGGTGATAGTGCAGCCCCTCGCCTTTCACCAGTATCAGTCAAAAAATAATTTGCTAACCACTCAACATTTTCGCGGTCAAATCGATATAACTTCCTGAAATCATTATCCCGGCAGTTTTTACGTTAATTGTATATTTTTCTTTTACGCACATTCATATATTCAGCCATAATTAAATGACACACAAATGATAAACGCACGTGTTATGCTGCAGTTTTAGCAAATGATGCAGGGATCACCCTACCTTAAAAATTTGAAAGCAATTGCTACACCAGAAAAAGCACTTGCTTCATTTATTCATCAGATTCATTTGCTTATATTTTTTAAGCAAAAGCTTTGATTAGAAACAATTCCTATAAAATTAAGCATTTGCTGAAAGCAAAAGCATTTACTTCATTTTTTATTCATTGGGTTGGAAGCAATTACTTGGATTTTATAAGCAAAAGCAATTGCTACATTTTTATTCATTAGGCTCAATGTTATAGTTTGTAGAAACCAATTCATTTCGGCGAGACCTTTCATGAGAATACCATGAAGGGTAGAACGCGTGTTCAACCTCCCCCCCCCCCACACACACACTTTCAAACATTTTACTTGGTACCACTAAAGGCATGGGTCAGGAAATAATTCATGGGAGGCCCCCCTTGAGATAACGAAATTTGATTTTTTGTTGAGAAAAAAAATTAAAGAAGAAATGCAAATTTCATCACATTTTTTAGGGTGGCCCCCAAACGAAATCAGTTGGACGGTTTATTTAGAAAAACTGCTTGTTTTGAACCCCCCTACCAGCAATTTCTTTACATGCTTATATGTATAATAATTTAGATAAACAATCAACATATTTTTATGCCTGTACTGTTTACAAAGAATTTAATAAAAAATGAAGAGAACATATATTTAACCTATTTACAATTCGCGTTCAGCCCAATTTTTATTTACCGTATGCTTAAATCACGCCGTTCTTCAATGATCAAACATACCAGTACGCAGACTTACAAAAAATTAATTAAATTTTGAGTATTTTAATGTTTTTTTTGCACAATAGCAATTACATACATGCAGCTGTATTTATTCATTTAATAAACAAAGCCTGTAGGGACTTTGTAAATTGAAAGTGTATACATTTGTAGTAAATCGAGAGATGCCTCGATATAAACTAAGCGATTGATATAGAAAATATAGAAAAGCCCAGTACAGAACGAGATTATTATGTAGAAGCTTATTCAATGGTAGAAGTGTGCATACAGTTAATGACAAGATTAATGACTCACAGTTTCTGAAAATCAAGGTGAAAATATATCCGCATTGTGAGTCCCAAAACTGCACAAAACGGTCGAAAATTAGTAAGAATGATTCACAAGAAACTTGTACTCTTCCGGAAATGCCTAAATTCAAAGGTAAGAAGATGATAAAATATCAATTGTTTTTAAGTGATTTGGTAAATTGTTGTAGGTGTTCCAAAAATGGCAGCTACAGACTTAACGCAATGATACATGACAATAACGAAAGTATCTATCTATGATGATAAAAAAAATGCAAGTAATTAAAAAAAAATTACTAACAAGAAAACGTTTGTGAAGATAATGTGAGAAACTTGAGGAGATTGCAGGTGGTAAATAAATTGATCAAACGTATTAATTTGTAACGCTCTTTCGATTAGCTATGTACGGTTCCGTAACTTTTTTAAACCGCGCATGCGCAAAATCAAAAAATATCGGTATAATCCTTGGACCAAGCCCTCTCAAATGAGCCCAATATGGCCCGAATCCGTTCAGTCGTATAGAAGGAGTACGTGTGACGGACGGACGGACGACAAAGTGCCAGCCAATAGTGATTTCTCACTTTGCGAAAAATAAAGAAAAAAAGAAATAGTTTTTTGTTTTAGTAACAAACAATCATATTGAGCCATTTTTTTCACCGTTATTGACGTGCTTTTGCGTTTCTGACGCCTGGACTATTAATCGTATATTTAATATGCCGCCGAATTCAGGGTTCTGAGATTATGATCGCATGATGCCCTCATAATAAACTTTCTTTTTATTTCAGTAATATCATGTACCAATTACTTGCGTTTACCGGCTACAGTATAAAAAAGTAATAAGGTGTGTTACAAATTCCGAAAGGTTTCAGATAAATGAAGTCATTTGTAACGTCCTTTAAAATTTCAATACAAGCCATTACCTGTGATCGAGTGCTACTTTAGTATTCTTAAAACAATTCCGAAAAGATATTACCATCAATTGGCACACATAAATCCCAACTTATAAAAACGGTAGTGCCAAGAACTGGTATTATGTCATGTAAGGACATTAACAAAGGAAGTGTATTAAACTAATGAGTCCCCTAAATATTTCAATTACACATTCCATCAATTTAATGTTTTTTATTTCAAAAAAAATATCCGTAATATAAACTTGTCTTCCATGCTACACAGACTGCATTGAATACCTACGGTTACCTACGAGTCTTAATTCGACATTTGGTAATTGGCGGGCTTTAGTGTGGGAATGCCTTCCAAAATTTATAATTGAAAATAAATAAATACAGGCTTGAAATAAGCAATAACGGTCACTTCGAAAGAGATTAATGCAACTCTTTTACGTTTATGAAGCGTAAATAAGATTAATGCATTGGAGGAGTATAGTAATTTTTAGATAACTACTCTTATGCAGGTAAACTAATAGATGCGGGCAAATAAATCTCAATTTGCGAGTATAAATAGTTAATAAATTTCAATTTTGGAGCAGCGATAAAGTCGTTAATGCATTCTCAAAAAGGAACGGTCGACATATTTATTAGGATTAAATAAGCATTATTCTTTGTGCCTAAAAGCCCACGAGTAATATTTTAAAACTTCTATTGTGAAAACGGTACTCTAAAAAATCCAATTCTATATATCACAACTTTGTACTTTCGCACTTGATTCAACGAGTCGCAAAATCGGCCAACGAATGGCCATCCTAAAACCCATTTTCTGGTGATTGTCTGTTTGGAACGAAAAGTTTTAAGTGGGTAGCTATTTATTGCGTTCCCGCTAAACTCCTTTTTGTCTTTCTATAAGATAATCAAGCTGGGATAAAAATATAAATTTGAAGTGCTTTATAACAGCGATATAATTTCATTAACTTTTAATTAATTGTTCTTCTTGAGATTTAAAGTTAACTTAGTCTAACGATTATTAAATTAATGCATTCTTTTTCGTTTCAACTTTATTTCAAGGTACGTTTTTATAAAGGTATACCTTTACTGATTAATTACTCCCACTCTTATAATTTAATTCGAAACGATGAAAAGTACCGCCGTGTACTTTTAAAAGAACGAGATTTTCTCTGAATTGACATAAAGTGGGCCGAATGTAATTTTTATTGATACCTGCCGGAAATTGATAAATACCGAAGTCCCATTTGTTCAGGCTAAGTGGTTTTCGTACCTAACGTCGGATTGTATCAAGCTATACATCAATATTGTAGTTACAGTCAACTGCAATTCTATTTTTGTACTATTTGTCCGTTTCGGCTTTAAGTAACGCTCATAAATTTCGTTTCCATTTCTTGTTCCGTTTCTGAAGCGTTGGTTTGACGGTTTGGTATACATTCATTACGCCGTTGTCCAAATGCGTTCGTCGTGACCCCAATACATTGCCGAAAATCATAGTCCCCCTGGCCGGAAACTTCCGGAATATATTGTAATAAACAAAAAAAAACGAAGAAAAAATGGCAAAATGTCGTTTCTTTTCGCATTTGACTTCAATTATCTCGTTAACTATTGCTCTGAGGGAAAAAATGAGTAGAAATGAATTTGTTTAGAATCGAATTTTCTATAAGATACAGTTGATATGGAACGCTCATTTTCAAATGTTTTTGTTTTTTATGGAAAAATATAAAAAAAGTAATTCCTCAAATTAACAATGTAGTATTACTAAGTAAAATTCATCCGAATCCGAATTTGGCCACTTCTTTTGATAACAAAACAATATGATAAACCCAAGCACCATAAGCTTCATAGTCATTGATTAATTAAATAAACAAATTTAAAAAAGGATGCTATGTCTTTCAAGCTGGATGACCCCAGAGCCTTCTCAATTTTTTTACAGATGATGGAACACTAAGACCCAAAATTGTCCCGATGATTCTTGCAAATCGATGGACTGTGGAATATTTCTAGTTAACTAACAAATGGAATAACTCCCGAAATATAACTCTATAATAGGCCCTTGGCACTCTGAATAAAAATCATACATTTTGGTCAAATAGAAGCATAAGGAAAGTTCAAGCTTTAAAGAATCGTTCGGTGTGGCCCGATTTACAAAATCATTTTTGGTTGTCTCGAAAACAAGCCGAATGTTAAAAGCTGATTTCTCGTGAACTTCGAATTACAGGGATAACAGGATTATCACTAAACTGGATTTCTTCATTTCTGAGTAATAGAAGACAAGTTGTCCGAGTAGGTAACTTCCAGTCTATGCAAATAACGCCTACGTCTGGAGTCCCCCAGGGTTCCCACTGTGGGCCGTTTTATTTTTGTTATTCATCAATGATATCGTGGATGTAATCGCACATTGTGACTGTTTAATGTATGCGGATGATTTAAAAATTTTTCACTCTATACAATCTGAATTAGATTGCATTAATTTACAGTCAGATCTCAATCGTATATCTTCGTGGTGTGCAACTAATAGACTACAATTGAATGTATAAAAGTGTGCGGCAATGTCGTTTTATAGAATAAAATCCCCTATTACATTTAACTATTACCTAGACAATCAATTGTTACAAAAGAAATCTGAAATTAGTGATTTAGGAGTTATTTTCGATCGACGACTAAATTTCAATTCCCACATTGACGCTACTTACAATAAATTATTACGCATTGGGGTTTTGTTTGGTTTATTGCTAAAGATTTGAACGTACAATGTTTGAAACTACTTTTCTGTTCAATTGTTCTATGCCATGCCGACTACGGATCGTTATTGTGGTCTCCGTTCACTGACCAAAATCGTAAGAAGCTAGAAACAGTACTGAAGAAATTTCTTAGAACAATGGAATATAAGCTTGGAATTCCACATATCCAAGGAGCTTACGCATCAATTAGATCGGATTTGAGCCTACATTCTTTGGAAAACCGGAGACGCATTGCCGACCTATGTTTTTTACACAAACTTCTAAATGGTGCTATTGATTGTCCTGAAATTCTTAGTTTGGTGGATTTTTATGTTCCTAGGACTACATGCGTCACCAGAAATATACCAGGCTTCAGAATTAAACAATTTTCAAGCAATGTGTCTAGGAATAATCCTTTAACAAGAATTTTGTCGGATGCAAACTATTTTAGGAAATTGCCGTGGTTTAATCTGATTTTAATTCTGATTATCAGGCTTATAAAATTAAGCTCAAACGTGATATTGATTACTAAATATTTTTTGTTTTTATTCTATTGTGTGAAGTTTTGTATTTGTATTGTCTTTTAGCGAAGGTTTATTAGGTTGAAAATCAATTTATGTTAAATTAGCAACATGTTTTTTTTTTGTGGTATTTAATGTAACAGATGAATTCCGTAAAAATATATTATATTATATTATTATATTATTAATCGAATTTGGACGTATTTTTTTAAATGTAGGTCTTTCAGAGACCTTTCCATTCCCCTATTATAGATTTACATTTGTTGTTGTATTTTGTATTGAAAAAAAAAATTCCACAGTCCGTCGATTTGCAAGAATCAATGATGTTTTAGAGTTCATTAACTAGAAAAAAATTGAGAATGCTCTGGGAGTCTCCAGTGTGAGAGACAAAGCATCGTTTTTTTAATTTGTTTATTTAATTAATCAATGACCTTGACCATGATACCTATGGTGATCGGGTTTGCCGTATTGTTTTGTTATCAAAAGAAGTGACCAAATACGGATTTTCAAAAAGATGAAAAAGGATGAATTTGACTTAGTAAAAACAGATTGTTAATTTTCGGGATTCCTTTTTTATATTTTTCCGTAAAACACAATAACATTTGAAAATGAACGTTCAATACCAACTGATGTATCTTCATTTTTTCTCTTAGAGCAATAGTTAACGAGATAATTGAAGTCAAATGGGAAAAGAAACGATATTTTCCCATTTTTTCTTCGTTTTTTGTTTATAACAATATGTTCTGGGAGTTTCCGGCCAGACGGACTATGATTTTCGGATTCAACGGGTTTTTTACTGGTGTGTTGTACTACTTCCTTAGTAAACTTCATAATCTAATCGAACACGGCAATTTATTCCTACTTATAGGGCCAGCAGAGATTGATTTGTTTAATTATAATAATATTGCCATATGCGAAAATAAGATGAAATTTGAAGATAAAAGTGTTACAAATATTTATGTCTAAGTCATGCTAATATTTATTGTAAGCAGTGTGATGAGGGGCCCGTTGGTGAGGATATTGCGGATGAGAATAATTAAATATTACATAAATAATCAGTTCATTATTTTAATTTATGTTAAATTTGTAAAGGAGGTTGTAGTATATGATTACCAATACCATATTTTGCTTAAAACCCTTTACGTTTACTAATTTTTTAATAATAATAAATAAAATTGTGCCCATGGAGTCGTATGTGTACAGTGGGTCTCAGAGACCCAGCGCGACTAAATTTGTAAAAAACATAGGCGCGACTAGCGTCGGGTTAAGTTACCTTAATAACAAAGTCCATTAAACTACTAACATTGGTCCTCCGAGCCGGATTAAAATGTGAACCGCAAACTGTGAAAATACAGTAATCGACAGCATCAAAATATTCCTGAAATTGTCCCGGCATTCCACGTGCAAGCAGAGTAAACAAGGACAACCGTCCACCGGCCCAGTGTAAAGATCTTCAATTGTTAGTGATTTTATTTATGCAAATTTACTCTTCCTGAAATCTTCAATTTCCTGTCTAAATTCCTTGACCTTCTCTCTTATCTCTTATCAGCTTTTCCTGTTTTGATGAGCCATTCTCTTACCAGATTTTCTTCAGAACGATCAAGTGCAGCCAATTTCTATAAAGATTTAATTTAATCGCTGTGGATCAAAGGGATCATTAAGATTTTGGTGAAGTTAATACCAGATTACCTATATTCTCATTGTGGAGATTTTGGATTCGAGGTAATTTGTCGCTTAGGCGGATTTTAGAATCGTTGGTTGAACCACATGTGAAGCTCGCCTTCCATCTCAGAGCTCGTATTCTCTGCTTTTTCTTCTTGTTTCGACCTACAATTATATCTTCGTGCGTCGTCTCGTGTGTTACGTCAACGTATACCTACTGCCCGGAAGTTAAACGTCGATCAACTAGAGCCACCTTAATGTCCTACTACACGGAGTAACCTTTGACCGAGTTTCTGGAGCAGTCTTTTGTGTCTCGTCCCGTCTTCTTCGTCTCCAACCTTGTCCGCAGTCGTCATCTTAGAAAGAACGTTAATACCAATATCATTGGAGCATCTACGTACCGTATCAGGTTTGGAGTGTCTGTCTGTGCCGTCTATTCTTCCTTGCTGTTATCTCTCGCTGTACAAACACAATTTGGTGAATCAACAAGACCAGTTTTGCTTTATTATTGAACTTTGTATACCTTATACGCCCTTCAGGCATTTGTACGCCCTTCAGGTACCTCAAGTTGTTTAAAACACGTTTATTAATTTATATTGTGATTTAATTGAGCCTTCAGCTAGTTTTAGTATGTGAGGTTAAGTTACCTTACAGTTACTTTACAACTACTCTTTACAAAACCTAAGAACTACCGAGGTTGTATTAAACTACTGTACGGCAGATACAAGTATCTAAATTTCTTGCCTGTAGTATACCCGACGTAAGGTAAAAAGGGGGTTCAGACATAAAAACAAGGCCTTAGTTTTATACCACTGACTCGTGTAGTCACGCAATATTTTTTTTTCTGTTATTGTCATTTTTTTCTTAAATTGCATTACGTAATATTTTCCTTGTTGCAGCCAACCTTTTCTTTGAATTTATTAAAATAGTTCTAATAATTATTTTGTTACTGTGGAACTATAAACTAAATTTAACCTTATTTTGTTTTGGGTCAAATTTGAATGTACATATTACCGATTTATTTTCAATATTCTTCTTCCATCAATATATATATTTCTTCCTTCTGTGTTTTGTTGTATTTGTTATTTTTGCTATCCGTGTCCCGCATTTCTCCGTGGTTGTTTTTAGAACGGGAGCAACCCAGATCCAGATTTTGAGGTTCGTAAGTATATACGTTCTTGGCGCCCTTAATACCTTTTACTCACGACCCGAAGAGCTAGTCCGCGGACCCCTAAAAGTAAAGTTGTTACCAGTTGTGCGGGAAGTTCGTCGATCTGAATAAAATTTATGTAACACCAGTTAAGACAGCGCAAGCTTACATCGCCACTCTGCAGCTATAATTAGCTGGTCAATTGGAATCACGCGTCGCCACAATTGCAATAACGAACAGGAAATCAAAAGAAAGAAATTCGCAACTACTAACAGCACTTTACCCCACAATGTGTCCAAGATCAAGGTGATGCTATAAAGGCAACTCCGTTTTGTGCCTCGGTCCATTATGAAAAACTACGGAAAAAATTATATTAATCAACAGGCTTTTTTGGAAAATTAATATTAAATATGTAAGTTTCTCGCCGGCGTTTTTAAGTGCTTTCGTTAAAAACTTCAATAAGCTTCCCCATATAATGTCCTCTCGTTCTACTTCATGAGTATTCATATCGTTAAAAGAAAACTTTTGAAATGAAAAGATCCTGTTGAGATACCGCCGATTTATTTTGATGGAAAGTGTCACTTTCGAAGGATAAGGAAACGGCAGTGTTTCCCCACCTGTCGCGATTTGGTAGTTTGTATTGTTGGCATTTCTTGTTGATTTAGACGAGGCGATTTTAAGAATTAATGATTAGATTACTTCCTCTACGAGCAGCGTTATACCTACATATTATCTACTGCTCATATAACGCAAATATCTAGAATCCTAGATTAGACCGGCTAATTTTCCATTTTAGGGACGTGTGAAAGTAAATTGTAGTGTAATTAACGATATATAGATATTGCGGTTTGTGGACTGGGTGCGATTGGTATAGAGGGTTGATTAGACAAAATTATGATACAGAACACAATTGCGTCCATAAATTTAAATCATCAGCTATGCGACTGTGTTAAAGCGTAGCGCTATAAAAAAATGAATTATTCATCACGTGTACATAAAGATCTTTAGTGTCACAACAAAGTTTGGAAACTTCTCGTCTTTAATAGGTATATCAAAGGATGTATATAAAAATTGTCTGATGAGATTTATTTTACATAATACTCATGTAAGGATAGCGATCTTGTAAGGCGTTAAAAAAGGCTTCTCAAGTGAAAATTCCGTCTTATCCCACCAAAGTTAAAAAAACTTTATACTGTTCACTTTGAAGAGATTTAGAACAATTTTGGTTAGCGACAGAAAAACTAATAAACTCGCTATCATTACGATTTGTACTACCCTTATGAATGACAAATAGCCAAGCTATACGTTACGAGATTACGAAATTATTTCCGGGAATAAATTGCTTGAATAAAATGAATGAGATTTTACCCTTTTCATGCGTAACTAAGCCTTTATTACTTGTAACTAAGGAATATTAAGTTTGGTAGGCATTTGGATGATCGTTAATGGTCACAATTATTAGCACTGATTCAGGAACAGATTGTTATCAGTGCTTCCACACACGTTCACTTCCCATTTAATAATGGAACGTTTCAGGTAATTTCATCAGATTTCGTGATTTGGGACTTAAATAACGCTAGATTTTGGACAGTTAAGAGCAAGCCTCTCTCTGTTTTAAAACAAGAATAAGATGGCATATGGCTTTAAACAATAAATTAGTACGTAAGCGCGTGAAATGGAGAGTTTAGTCTGCTAATGCACTAACTATTCGTAATTCTAACCTTAATACAGCTTGACTGGAATAAGCGTTAACGCCGTATATATTAACAATTCCAGCTTCTTTGAAGGAATACATTTTAGACTACGATAATGGGACTGGAGTTGGTATGCTAATGGCACTGATGGAAAAGACGTTTCTAAAACAATATATTAACCGTTTTCGTAGCAATTGTACTTATTTTCACACAGGCATGAATAGAATCCAAGAAATAATTAGGTATGTACTCACCAACTGAAACACTGCTGATGGTTACACTTACCTAAAACAAGAAAAGTAAGATTAGAAATTTATAAAAATACATGCTAAAAATAATCATGCTATCTCGGAAGAAAATTAGCGAATTCAAGTACTGATTACAAGTTGCTAAGTGTACCTGACTCTAGGAATTGTTATTTCGGTGACTTTATGCGTAAATGACATGTGCTAAAGAATTGAAGTGGAATACAATTTATCGATTACTTAAAGACGTTTATTTGCCTTCCCAACGCAAGTATCAGAAAGTCGTTTAATTTCTTGGTAGTAATTTTTTTGGCGTCCCGTCTGCAATCGTAAATTCTATCTTAGAAAGAGCAACTTTTACGTAATTTCCAACTTTTATCGGATTTTTTCGACTCGAACTACGTAAATGCCTTAATTTAATTGGCGACTCGACGGGAAAGCAGTATAAGTAAACAATTTAATAAGCTTCCTTCCTAAACATACTTTATGTCACAATCGCTAACACTTTGTACGCCGAAAGTTGATTTTAAGGGTCTGCCGTAGCTAAACTAACGCAATTTTTAATTATATATATATATATATATATATATATATATATATATATAGATATATATATATATATTATAACAACAGCTGCTTTGAGGTGATTTACAAAGAAAGTATGAACAGGCCCAGCATTTTTATCTGCAATGCTTTGAAGTAGAGGAGAGTCTGGTATAGTGGTCACTGCCAAATGATAGTCTCAGAGCTTCTTCATGACAGTGATGAGTTCAATGTGACGTTTTTACGACGTCATGGTTGCAGTTTTACTTATCCTACAATCCCTGATAATCCTACAATCTCAGCAAATGATGTTGTTGTCCATTTGTCTAAGCCAGTGCATGTTGGCGGGACTGCCAGAACATCAAATTTGTTTAACTTTACAATTAATTTATCCATGTATAATGTTGTTAATCTTTTCTATTTCGGACAGACTTTTGTATGACCTTTTCCTAAATAAGGGTTTTTTATGATCAAACGATGTCAAATTAATATCCTTACAGAATGTGTACGTGTCACCGCACACAATTATGTTGTAAAGATCAAATTGTTGTTACAGAAATGACTATTATTTATATGCGTAAAGTAATTTTTTGATGAATTCAGAATTTGATAAAATAGTTAGTTGTAGACTTCGCTTGTAAAAAGTATCAAACACAAAAGAATGGCACCATGAAAACATATAGAAACCTGAAAACTGTTTTTTTAGAAAAGCTTTAACAATTTCAAACTGAATCGGCATATTTATTGTGAGAAAATGTGGGGTATACCAGATGTTGGATATATGAAAGTACCTCTACTCATATTATTCCTTTATATTCTTTGCGCTTTCCTCTCACACTTTACAAAAAGCAAGGGTTAGGTGGTTTCAGTATGGCAGTACTTATTTTTTACATCAAAAATAAATGGGACTTTTGCAGTCAACGGGCATATTCGAATAAGATATATGAAACTTTAAAATCGATGTCATGAAAGCACAGACTTGAAAAGCTTACTTAAAAGTGCATGTACCCTTTGAATTGGGAGTAACCGATGGTAACTTGAGAAATTACAGAGCACAGTTTTATTTACTATGACAACTTAAAATTAATACTTTTTACCTACAGACTGACGAAGTAATCGTTAGCGATGTTTTACACAGAAATGCGAAATGAGAAGGGAAACGTTAGTTATTTCAGAACGGCGGTAACAAGACTTTTGATGTAATTACTACTAACTGGCAAAGTTCACTTCTAAGGCCGAGTTCTTTTAATATTACTGAATCCAACTGCAAAGTAGGATTGGGTTGAAATTGAAAAACGGCGTCAGATGGATAACAAATGAACGTAACGTGAATTGGAACAGGATTGCAGGTAGGGATATTGCGCCAGGGCTTACATACATTTGCAAATTTAGTATTTCTGATGAGCATCAATCCGTTTCTCTACTGTAATGTCAATGTTTTGAAAACGATCATTAAAGACACCTTTGTGATGTGCTTCATTTGAATTTGATTTCAGTTAACTGATAATGCTGGAAAAGAACATTTTGTTACGTCCATCAACGGTACGAAGTGACATTCCGTTTTCTTGCGTTTTTCTTGAGATTTCCTTTTATAGAATTTTCTGTTATAAATTTCAAACTAATTATGTTTAAAATGTAAGGATGGTATAATCGTGTTTATCTTGTAAGATGAAATAAAGCAAAAATAAGGTTGCTCTATTAATATGTAATAAATCATTTAGTTAGCTGCACGGTAACCTGCAATAAATAAACTACACGAAGTAATCTTGGCATGATTCTGCGTTTAATGAGGATGAATTATTTGCATATTCAACGTCGGGAATTTTACCAACATCACGTTGCGTTTTTTTTTTCGGTTCTAATTAATATGAGATTATTAGCCTAATACTAAATTATTTCATGTTGTACGAAGCCTCGGATTATGTAAGATTTAATTATAATAAAAGATATAAGGTCCCTGAAGTTAGCAGAACATTGGCGGCACAATTCTTAGTACTAGGTGGATTGGTTAGTGCTACGTTTGTGCCGACAAAGTTCACCCGCAAACCGAGGCACGTGGCGCAGTGGATGCGCTCACCGATGCTATTCGGAAGGTTGTGGGTTCGAATCCCGCTGCCGACTGCTCTGTCTGGGGTTTTGTCAGGGGGTTTTCCTCAGACATACGTAGCTTCGCATTATGTTGAAATCTACGAGGCGAATGCTGGAGCAGTACTCTCCCCCTCAGCACCCTAACTCCGTTCCTTCCGTTCCCA